ACCGATATATTACGGTTATATATATATATATATATATATATTACATATCCATATATGTATTTATAGTCAATGTGGTTTTATACATATTACGTACAAACAAAACCCACATGCCTAAAATTTCAAACAACTTTTTAATAGGCTTTCGTTACTGTTCAGACGTCCATTTCCGTCCTAATTATCAAATGAAAGTTATGCCCTAAGTTTGTAATCTTTATCAGATTTAATCTACCAAAGCACCTTATCGTTGATTAAACAAATTTATCAAACTCTGACTATAGATGGCCCATCAATAATTGTAAGATGACACCGGTAGGGATGACAATCTTATCTATTGGTACGGGCACCCAAATATCCTTAATAAGACATGTATGGGGATACTAGAGGCGGGCATGGGGCAAAAATTGGCCCCCAATTTGAATGCCTCCAAGCGACTAGACTTTTTTCTTTATACTAGTTGCAGAACATGTGTTATGCACGTGAAGAGTAATCGTGTATTAAGTTTTAATTATTGTGTTATTATAAAATTTTAAAAATTAAGTTTTAAGGCAAATAGCCAAAAAAGATTAATAAAAGGACTAAAATGAAAGAGAAAAAAAAATCTTGGAGAGCCAAAAAAAAAAAAAAAAAAACTGTAGCAACATTATTACAGTTCACGCATTTTTGACTAAGAAATATATGAATAGTGAACGTGTTTTTCAAGATGAAAAGATAAAAAAAAAAAAAAAAAAAAGAGAGCATTAAAAAAAGAGTGAAAGTACTATTCATAAAAGTGTGATTTTTAACTAAAATTACGTTGTTTTGGTTGAAAATAGTAAAACCCTATTGACATTTTTATATATTGTTATAGATTATAAATATATGATACACGCATGCATGCATACATACATATATTATAACACATCTCTCATATGTATCTATATATGTATGTATTCGTTTTTCTTTTGCTTTCATTTTAATTCTTGTATTGTCACCGTTGGTTAGTCAGGCCAGCTCGATCGGTCGTTCTAATTTGACTCGCCAAAAGAACAAAACTGAGTATCAACCATTAATCATTTTCAGCTTGGAATTAATTTGTGATACAAGACTTTTGGAATTAATTTGTACCAAAGGTATGGAATCTGTGCAAGTGGGAACAAACTAAGGACACTTTTGACAACTTTAGATATGTCTATATCAAAGAAAGTTTTAAATAATTATGTTACTTTTTCTTTTTTGCATGAGAATAATATCACCGACCAATGATTTGACCCATTTGGCTGGCAAGTCCAATAAAGTCCGAGAAATCGGTGGGGAAATAAAAGAAAACAAAAGTCGTGTTTAAAAGTCGTGTTTAGAATTAGTTATGTTTTTATTTTTTTATATATTTTAAGAAAAAAAATGAAATATTTTTAAAACTGAGTTTGATATAATAAAGACGAAAAATAGAAATGAAAACGATTTTTTAGTTAAGTGTAAAATGAGAGAAATAAAAAATGACTTTTAGTCGTTTTTTATTTTTTGTTTTCGTTTTCTCATCTCTCGAGCAGAGAGAGAGAAAGAGACCTCTCTCGAGTAGAGAGATAGAAAGAGAGATATTAATAAATTTTTTTACACTGAAAATAATCTCTTGATAAAACTATCAAACACATTTTTAAAAATGATTTTTGTCTGAGATTGAAAACATTTTCATTTTCATTTTTATACAAAAAACAAAATCATTTTAGAACGAGTTCCAAACGTGCTCTGCATCACTTTTTTTGAGAAAAAAATGAAAATATTTTCAAAATATCATTTGGTGCAATAAAGACAAAAAACGAAAATGAAAACGATTTTTTGGTTTAGTGTAAAATGAGAGAGAAATAAAAAAAGACTTTTAGTCGTTTTTCATTTTTTTTTTATTTTCTCATCTCTCGAGCAGAGAGAGAGAAAGAGAAACATTAATGAGTTTTTTTACACAAAAAATAATCTCTTGATAAAACTACTAAATGCATTTTCAAAAATGATTTCTGTCTGAGATTGAAAACATTTTTATACAAAAAATAAAATCATTTTAGAACGAGTTACAAACGCGTCCAAAGTTTCTGTTTTCAAGTCAAATCCGTAATTTAATTTATTTGACACGTGTTACCAGACTTTTGGAGTAGACAATAATGTTGCCTTCGTATATATACCCAAAATGGGAACACCTATATGCATGCTCCTATATATATATATATATTAGATTTATTTAAAAATATACTTTTAATTTTAATCTCATTAAATATATACTTTTAAATTAAATTTAATACCACATTTTATATACATTTTCATGGTCAATCCTTGATTTTAACCTTAAGAATACCTAAAATACCTTTAAATAAAAACATAGAAAAAAGAAAAAAACCTAAAAAAAGTTTAAACTCACAATTTTTAACCTTTAAAATATGTAAAATACCATTTAAATGGTTTTTTTTGTGTTATTAATGTTTAATTATCATAATATTAGAAAGTTTTAGTCTTTTTTCCTTTTTTCTTAAGGATAGTTTAGTCATTTTAAAGATCATAATCAATTATTGACCGAGATAAGACATAAATCTCCATATTAAATGTATAAAATCTATATAAAATGTGGTATTAAATTTAATTTAAAAGTATACATTTAATGAGATAAAAAACTGAATGTATAGATTTTGAATAAACCTAAAATGCAAGGTATAATAAAAAATATAAACATGTCAATATGTAATATAGTCGTTTTATTCGCCTTCAAAAATGTGGTCCATTTTGGTCGGCAATGGGTTGGTTTGCTTCCATATCTACATCTACTACTGAAAATGATGAAGAGGCTTTTAAAAATTGGACAATTTATATTATCAACCTTTTTTTTTTCTTTTCAAAATCATTGTTTCGGGCGGAACTTTATGAGTCTCTTCTGGGTGGGAATGCTAGTGAAATTCATGAAAATGGAAATATTTTTTGAAAGATCGACCACTTTCAAGAAAAGGGGACTTTTGTTTTCATCTTTATCTGCTTTCTGGTGGTTTAACTATATTCACACGCGTTTCTTCCTCGTTATTTCATATTACAGCTATTTTCCTAAATTTCATTGTCTTTTCCTCCAAACAATGTTGTTATAAATCCATAAAAAAATGTTATAAAACAAAATAGACCAAATGCAAGTCCCATCAAACGCTACTCTGTTATTTGGCCATGACAAGTGTTTAGTTTGGATAAAACGAGGGGACAACGAACTATTACTTTTATATTTTGATAAAGTCTATTTATATGTTCATGATCATAGTTAAATATTATATATATTTATAAAAGTATCATGATTGATAATAACAAATATTCCCTTACAACAAAGAAAATAGTTAAAACATTACTTCTATAAAAAAATAAAGATGATTTCTTTATGCATTCTTTCTGATTGACACTAGCGTAACTTCCACAAAGTAAACAAAATTGAGTTTTTAGCAAAAAGTAATGCAATCCAAATCCAATATATACTTAGCTATAATGAATTCATTATTGATGTTGATGTTCTTCCATTATATATTATCTTACAAATTCAACTTTTAAAATCTACTGGCAACAGACTATACAAAACAACAAAGAAAGGACAAACCTAAACAGAAAATAACAACTTGAGAACATAGTGAACAAACCCATACAAACACAATAGATCAGTAAGATCAAGGATATATATTTTTATTTGTTAGGGAAATACTAAGCAATATATATATATATATCGGAAAAGAAAAAAAATCCTACTAGAAAGAAAGATATTAGGAGGATCACTCTTTTGTTAGGAAATAGATTACGGGAAGTTAAAATGAATATGAGAAGAAAGCAAGAGTAGAGTAATCTATGGTTGATTATTTTCATATAGTTCTGTTGAAACACCTTGATTTTGGCCTTAAAAATACGTGACAATGAGCATTAACATTTTTAACAGAAACAAAACGTGTATCGTAAGTATTTAACCTTGTAAAATCATAAAAATTAAACCTCCAATAGAGCTCAATATATCCAGCCTTATTTTACAATATTACTGTTAATTTCTTAATTGGTAATTTATGCATTCTATTTATTGTATAGCATTCGCGATGATAATGGGGCTAAATTATAACTTGCAATTTGCATGCATGTTTGCTAACTAATAGCTCGTTGATAATGTCAATCAAGTCCTGCTTGGCTTTGAAATAGTTTGCAGAAATACAAAAACCAACTTAGTTTGATGAATTAAATTTTTTTTGTATTAATTGTAAAAGACAAACTTAAAAGTACTTTTGTTCAAGAATTATGTAAGTACATTTAATCCCTCAAAAAATAAAAAAGAGTGCAAGTGCATTTGATTATGCAAAAAGTTAGGTGGTTCCCACCGAATGTTTGCTGAATTATTGGATTAAAAAAAGTCACTATAAACTCTTTTATAATTATAAGTATAATATACATATCGAAATTATACAGTGGCGATTGGAATTAAAAATAAACTGATCTTTTTCGCTTGCAAATAAGAAATTAGTTTGATAATATTTAAATAATGCATAATAGAAGTTTGAAGAAGTAAGGATATAGTAAAGGCTGTATACGTCACTCCACAAATAAACAGATGGCAAAATCTTTAGTTGCTCTTATTGTCTCCAATTTTTTGCAATAGTTTAAATATCTATAAGAGAATTTTCATTTGTATATCCATTGCTGTGCTCACAACTGTTACAATCATCACACAAATGTTTGTTATTTAGTTATGTAGTCGAATAAGTTGCTTCCATATACATAATCATATATTTTCTTATATATGTGTTATAACGTCTGCATATATATCATATATATCACATACGTAAAATATAGATTATATGTGGCATCCATATCATTAATATCGTATGACGCAGTCCAAAAATTATATAATAATAAAATCCAACTTGGATCAAATAAAAAATTAATTTTAAGATTTCGAATCATGAAAATATATAACCAAAGAAGACATTATTAACATAAAATATTTAACTTACAAAACACTTGAGAATGAAGTTTACACACAAAGGCCCAGAGAGGACCCCCAAAAAAACAAGAGTTTTACACTGATATGGAAACCAGAACGAAATTTTTTCCCCTCTCTCAAGCTTGAAGAAAAACAAAGACAAATTTTCACATGAGGAAATTAGAAAGAGCCAAAGAAGGGAAGAATGAGGTATCTCGTTGAAAAGTCAAAAAGGCTCGCTCTCAAAGAAAAAAACCCTCCCGGAAAAAAGCTGCAAAGAATTCATCAATACTACACGTGGGTATAATTCAACGTAGTCAATACTCAATGGTCAACTACGCAAAAACGTCACATATAAAGTGAGGAAAAAAAAAAAAAAAAAAAAAAAACCCTTTCGGAAAAAGGAATAAACTTTGCAGCTAAACTGGCTATTATTAAGACTCATGATTATGGCTGGTGGACTTCTGCGCTAGAGAGAGATTTTCCTATTTTTCCTATTTTTTTTTTTTTGATATGGCATATGATTCCTGAAAAAAGAACTGTTGTCATTAAGAATTTATTATTCCTAGTCATCACGATGGAGCTAGCTAAGTCATGATTACTTTTTTTTTTTCCTCAGTGATCAAGTGTAGTTCTTGAGCAAAGCCTGTCTTATATTTCTCACTAGATCCTTCGCGTTCATGCTGTACTCAACGTCCATCTGCAAGAAACCAAAAAAAATATTAACTTTTAATTAATTAATTAGTTATCTATTTTTTGTTGGGAAAGAGCTTATCTATACAACTGGAATAAGTAATATTTGAGGGACCAAATTTTTTATCACTTCAATGTGTTCACAGCTTTCCTGATGTGATAATTCTTTAAGCACAAAAGAAAAAACATCGATGATCAGTTTAGTTCATAAGTTTGTATAGAAATTTATATTTATTTAATTTTTTTGGTAAATAAGGTATGCGTCAAACATTTTAGGGTTCATTTGGTACGAGAATTCAAAACAGAATGATTTTAATTATGATTCTAAAATCAGAATTATAATTCATGATTTTGGATTTAAATCATGATTCTGAAACTATGATTTAAAATCAGAGGTTTGAATCACCTTGAATCAAGAGGGAGATGGTTTAAGAATCATGATTTGAGCTAGTTTAAAACATCACATCAGATTCTAAATCATGATTCAGAATCGTCCAAACCAAACACTGATTTTAAATCATGATTCAGAATCATGATTTAGAATCACTATAAACAAACACTGATTTTGAATCATGATCTAAAATTATGATTCTGGATCTATCTACCAAACGCACCCTTAATTCAAACTTTGCAAACAAGAGTTTGGCTTTCCATTAAAAAAAAAAATTCACGTTGAAATAATGGTCAACACAAATGATACCTCGAGTATTAGCTAATAATATTTCAAGGATTTTCGTAGTTTTAGTAATAAATGGTGGTATTAAGGTGGACTATATTTGTTATTACACAAAACAAAAGACAATCTAATAATAATCTTGTAACATGTTCTTAAAGATTTACCTGAGCAACAATAGTAATGTGGGTGGTAGAACCACCAAATGGTAAGACACTGCTGTTGACAATTGTGAGGTGAAGCTTCTCTATCTCGCAAAGTATGTTAGACAAACATCCTTTTTGCTTCTCGCAGTGGATTCTAATCAAAACGTCCTTGCCCGAAACTCTTGCTTCGATTTCGGGCAGCGGTTGGTCGGAGCTGCTGTCGAAGTTCTCGTCGGACGAAGAGATCTCGTCGTCGGCGGAGAGATGAGATCTCTTCACAAAAACAACTGACTCCACAGTCTTCTTTGCAGCCTGTTCCTCAAGTATGCTTACTCGTTCTTGAAGAGTTTTTATGTACGTGATTGCATCTCCAAGGACGGAAGCCTTGTCCATCTGTTAACAAATCAATTGACACATATAAATATGATAATTAAAAACTTTCATCAATTTCATAGATACTTATATTATCATAATTTCCTTATTATGTGTGTTAATTAATCACTCAAACTGTGTACTAAAATTAAGTTATGACAGCTATTCATTAATGTAAACGATGTTAGATTCAGACAGTATATCACCACTTGCTATATTTATTCATTTCAATGGAAAATCTCTACTATTTATTTAGGAGAATAAAATCTCCATCTCCAACGCAGCAATAAGCACATGATATATGAATTATTATACATTTCTAGCTAAGAGATTCTAAGAAACAAAAGAAAGGTAAAAAAATAGAAGATAAACTAGTCATATATAATGTTGAAATTTAGAACAAACTTGTGGTACCTTTTTTAGGCCTGGAACGACAGCCGAAAGAGCTATGTACCTCTGATTGAGCTTCTCACGGCGCCTTCTTTCGGCTATTACATGATCTTGAGCATGTAAGGGAGACCTACTCATGGCGGCGGCCGGCCTCTTCTCGCGGATAACTTGCCCTAATTTCGGTGAGAAGTTCTCGTTTCGATCATGATAGGAAGATTGAAAGATCATGTATTTATCGGTGGATCCAGCCGGCTCGTCCTTTGGCTGCTTCACAGGGGACTGATCTAGGTTATCATAGTACTTCTCGGGGGTGGTCGCCGCCGAGCTAGCGTACTTTTCGAAGGAAATTATCTGCGAGGATGAAGAAGAAGCTGCCTTTGCGCTGGTTTTATGATAGTGGTAATTATCATTAGTGGTGCAAGAGTTATTGTTGTTCCAGCTATTGTTGATCTTGAGCTGTTTGGCTGGCCGGCTTTCAAAGTCTGTGATCTGATGGTGAGGAGCTTGGTCTACCGGCGTGGCGGCGCCGCCCAGATTTTGCGAGTTCGCCGGGGCGAAATTCGTGTTGTGAGATGAGTAGCTTTCGGAAGAAAAAGACTGGAAATTGATGTCGTCAAATGAATAGTGATGGTCCAGAGAGTTCACTTGATCATATTGGTGGAAGAAATTATAATCCATTTCCTACAAAATTAAGAATCATTAAACCATAATCACTACTATATATATATATATATGTGTGTGTGTTATGAATGGTAACTTAAATTAGGTCTTACCAGTTCAGATAACCATTTGGCTGATGGGATTTCCATTTAAGGCACCTGGTTATTTGAAGGTTTGATTAAATCAGCAATATATCTTGAATATGATGAAGAAACCTGCATAAAATTCAAGAAATGGTCATTTTATAAAGGGAGGAGAAGAAAAAAAAAACTAAAAAGCCACAAACCCAAATGAAATAAAAAATCATATATAGACAAATTAGAAAAGGAATAATATGAGGCTGAGATCTGAAGACCAAATTAAACTTATCCCAAATATGTGGTTTGTGGAAATTAATGAAAATCTTTGGTGGGATAATTATATCTGGAGACTTGGAAAAAAGATTATAATCACTTACCTTTAGAACAAGAAGAAGACCAGAAAATCTTTTGTGTTTTCAGTTTTTCGTCAGAGTTGATGTAGAATTTTTGCAGTTGGTGTGTGCGTGTTATATAAGGTGCACCGACGCGCACCATAAACTCGGCGGATAATCAGAGATATTAAAGTCAGAGAGAATAATAATTACAATGTTCCATTAATAATATTAATTAAAGAAAAAGAATTAATTAATTAAAGCCGCACGCATTACACCGTACAAGTAAATGTTCGCACGTGTGAAACTGTTCATCCGTTTTTCTTGTAGTTCACTGTTCATTTGTGGGCTGTATTAGTATTAAACCATTTATTATGCTCTCCTCATCGTCTGTGGTCAAATTCTGACTCCCAACTCTTTTTAGGCAATAAAATATTGCCACGTCTTAAGGACGTACGTAAATTTATTATTGGTCAGCCAGTGCTTGACCGTTCCCACTTACCCATTTTTTTGGAGTAGTTTAGAAGCTTCTTTTTTTTTTTTTTTTTTTTCCCCCCCTCTGAGCTACGCCGTATAATTGTTGCTATGTTCGCACTATATACGTTTTGTAGTTATTCTAAGGTGTTTATATTACAAAGAAGGCCAAATTTAGTCGATTTGTACTGTCAAATTCTTGAAGGTTTTATGTCTTGGCTCATTAAGAATACGGTCTTATCTAAAACCAAAATCATTCCATAATTTCCATTCAAAATTTCAAACTGTACCCTCATTTTTTTCCCTGTATTTAAGGTATATGCTTTCAGACTAATTAGGAGATTATATCATGGGATTAATAAATATTAATTAATAAACACAATGTAAATTAGCATAGAAGCAAATAGAAAATAAAGCGGATCAAATTGAGATATGTACGGATAGAAAGAGTGAAATTCATCAAATCATCATGTTATGCTCTTAAGAGGCAATAGCTATAACCAATATAAAGGTCAATTAGGATAGTACCACTTCTAAGAGGAATTTCTTAGGAGTGAATAAAAAAATACCATTTTTTTTATTTCTTTACAAACATCATTACTAAATTTAAAATCCATCTCTATCTCATAAAAAAACACTAACCCTATTTTTTTTTTTTTTTTTTATCTCTCTTCCATTCTCTTTACTCTCCCACTGTTAGTGCAGGTTTTGTCCCTGATGAGCAATAATCGAAGATAAAGATCGCCATGTCTCCGCCATGAGATAGATCTTTATCGCGATGATAGATCTCTGTGGCAGTTTGATCATCAATGGGATTCGATCAAGGCGGCCAATGAAGGGACCTCACCTAAAAGATCAAGTTCTCTGGAGATCCATAAGGAGTTGTGTCTCGACGACAAGGTGTGGATCATCATAGCATCGTCACTGGTCTCTCGATTCCACTAAGCTATCATCAAGGGCGGCGTATGGAGACTCATGGTTGTTATCATAAGGCCTTCATCATTTGATCTTATTGTTTGACGACACAGCAGTTAGATAAGAGAGAGGAGACAAAAAGTGAACATTAGGGTTTCTAATGATAAATGTGGTGTGTTTGAATAGAAAAAAATAAGAAGCTGTATTTCTTTATTCAATGACAAAAGAAGTGGTATAAGAGCCAATTTCCTCCCAATATAAGCCAAGAATAAAGTTAAAAAGGTCAAATTGCAAGAGTCATAACAATCAAGTTCCACGTAAGGGAGTAAATTTTCTGGTCGGAGAATACAATGGAAAACTATTAGCATCTTCACCCAATTTAGTGAAAAAGATAATGGTTTTGAAAAGTAAATGAGGAAACATGCATGGGATTCTCGATTCCTTTCTAGTGTTTATTTGTTGAAAAATGTAATGTAAATAATCCAATTCTCTTTCTAGTTTATTGAACTTAGGAATAGAAAACTTATGATCAATATAATTACTAAAATGTACTTTATTGAATAATCATTGCCTTGTAATAGATGAACTTGTCAAGGGTGTATAAGTGATTTGATATTCTTCGATTCCAGCTTTTTTGATGATATTTATGTATGTTATATCTAATATTTAGAAGGGTAATTTAGTATTTTCCTTAACTTTATGTTATATATGTACTAAAAGAGCGTTATTTAGTATTTTACTCCATTAAAGAGCATTTTCAAGACAATACTAAATTAATTTTCTAATAATTTTAAAATTTTGATAGAAAAGTCACCCTCCAATGTAGTGATATTTTTTGTGCTAAATTTGAAATATGTTGTGCATGCTGTCGAATTAGCACCAAATATAGCATATGCCATATTTTGGTGTATGATGCTATTGGTCAATGTGCTGATTTTTTTTATTTAATAATTACTAGATTACTATTTTCATAATTATTTAAAAAAATGTAAAATTAATTTCAAATTACTTACAAAGCTTATAATGATCGTGACACAAAATAATTTTGAGTAATCTTGACAAATACCCTTTGAAAGTGCATGGGTCAAGATTTTTACCCTTTACTCTTGATTCATAACCTTTTTAGTCAAATAATTACACTAACAAAATGGTATTTATCAAGAGTAAAAGGTACAAGTCCAGACTCATGCACTCTTAAGGACAAATTTTTCATTTTTTCAATAATTTTTTTAGCACAAAATAGTATTACCTATGACATTCACATTTTTTGTCAAAGTATTTGAAACGGAGATGATCATTAAAGTTTTGACTTCTGATTTCTACATGTTCCTTTAACTAATCATACATATGTTAGAGTAGATAGCAACCTTTCGTATTAATACTTTGTTAAAGTATCATGGTATCGCAATGTTTGATGCCAGTTCGAATCTATAATTATTGTATGTATCCATTATTTTGTCATCACATATTGGACTTTTGTTTGAATTTGTTACAACTCTCTGTTCTCTTTTTGAAATTTGGGTTCAGTGTATGATTAATTTATTTCTTAAATTCTCCAAGGTCGTGTTTTATGAATAGGTTAAACAATATTGGTCCTTTCCTTTAAAAAAATATGGTCCACAAATTTTTCATGAAAATAATGGTCCACATTTGGTGAGCTCAATATATGGTACTTAGTCATATTATCATTCATACCATGCATAGAATTTTTCCCCCCTTGTACATTCTCCCATGGAATTGCAATATTCATCTGAATATCTCATGTATATATAAAAAGTAAATTTAGAACTTTACAATCTTAAAAATAAAAACTCAATGGCTGTGATAAGATATGAAACAATATATTGTCAGTGATGTTAGAATTTGTTATGATATATAGGCAAAATATTGTGAGCTTCTGTGCCCCAGAGTGCATATTATTCATCTAGAAAGGAGGCCTACGTCTTCCCTAAAAAATAAATGTTGAAAAAATAAATGAAGGAGATAACAATCAAAATACCCTAGCCACTAGGGATATAAAAAGAAAAAGAAAGCATAAAATAATTTAAAAAAAAAAACGATAGCACTAGCCACTAGGGATATATAGATATTAGATACATTGGCTTTTAGATCTATCTTTAGTTGTACAAAGGAGCTTAGAAATTGCGCGAGTGATGATCATCATGATAATCACATATACTGTCCACGTAATTAAAGTCTCGACTTTATGCATTAGCCACAGTGGAATTCATGATTGTGCTACATTATCTATTCCATAATAATTCGGATATCTACAGAAAGTAAATTACTCATTTTAATAATTATTTAAGATTCTGCAAACATGTGTGAGCATTATTAACAGGACAGGGAGTACTACGAGGACAAAACCCTACATCCCCACGTGGGAATTATAAACATATGTGAATAAGGAAACCGAGTCGAAGCTAATATATATATATATATATATATATATATATATATATATAGACACGCACATACATATACACACTGAATTACAGTGATTAAATCGAAAATTTCGCCGGCTGCTTAATTGCTGGAATTAGGTGCCCAATTGAATGGTCAAAGACTTAATTCACAATTAATCATATTAAGCATCCAATTTCTTACTTAAGCGCTAGTCAATTGGATAATCAATATTGCTATTAAACTATTATGTCAAATCAGTCCTAATGTTGGCCCCACTAATTAATTTTAATTAACACGCGGCTAATTTTGCAGATTCAATTAATGACTAGTACAATAGAAGTGATTGTATAGCTTTAGGTGAAATGTACTACTTATCAAAAGTAAGATAAGGAGTTGTCTTTAGTTTTAACCTTTTAAAACAAGATCTTGAAAAACAATCCATCCAGTATCGTTTGTCTCGTGAAGAATTGAAAAGGGTTATTGAAGATGCATGATTTCAGACTTTGCTTGTGTTATACAAGAATTTTCACAGCTTCGAGTCAACACGCCATGTCACCAACCTCGGAGCTCAACGGTTATGTTGAGCTCAAAATCAAATTAGTTAAGGAGGTATGGATGACCTGACAACCTCACACCCTCAGCTATGGTTCAATCCTTTAACTGAAGACATTATCCCTTAGCTCAGCTTACAAATGCCATGAGCTCAAGTGTGGATGAGCTCGTGGCCCAATCAAGTTAAAGATATTAGAATCCCACATTGGCTAAAGATATTGGCATGATCTACTTAATAAGGTGAGGATAATCATCTCCTAACAAGCCGGTTTTGTTAGGTTGAGTTAGACCCAATATTCTTTGATTTCTGTAAAATGGTATCAGAGCAAGCTCAGTTTTACAATGTTAGGTCCCCCAATATCGACTTATTCGCAACGGTTTGGCATGGTCCATGCTGTGCGTGAGGAGGCGTATTAGAATCCCATATTAGCTGGAGATATTGGCACGATCCAGTTAATAAGGTAAAGGCAATCATTCACTAACAAATCGGTTTTGTTAGGTTGAGTTAGACTAAATATCCTTTGATTTCTGTAAAAAAAAATCTGACCAGCTCTCATACCTAACCAGGTCGAAGACTTGGTTGGCTCACATAATTAAATCGAAAGCTCAGCTAGTCCCCACACCTAGTGAGTTGGGGACTAGGTGTGAAACTCGCGAGCATGAATCTCTTCCCTCACACCCTACTTCTCTACCCTCATTCCTAAGCCCGCTTTTCTCGCTAAAAACCCACGTCC